GTGTCCATATCCTTCCCTCCTTTTATTAAATTATTTAGCCTACCACATAATTTGAAAATATGATTTTGAGCTTTAAAGTTGTAGAAATGTAATTGATGTTGAGTTTGCAGATTGCAAAACCAAAAGGTCCAGTTTAGAGAAACACACACACACACACACACACACACACACACACACACACACACACACACACAGGGACAGAGACCCCAGTTATATATGGCTTAATTCCTTTTTTCCTGTTAGTCCAAAAACAGGAAGTGCAGATGCTTCACTATGATTCTAGCAACTCGAATAAGGAAGGAGAGTTTAGTTATAATTTGGGTGAGCTGATTTGTTGAGGGCTTATTGTAATGTCTGCCTCACCTGCTTGCCACAGCTCCTTGCTCCTGTAAGATTTATTATCAGGGCCTGTGATACTGAGACAGAGTGTGAAATTTCAGCTTTGACTTAGGGGAGGAGGGGGAAGATTCATTTCTGTGCGACTACATGGTACGTCAAACTTCTGAACCAAAGTGAAAATCCAGGACCAAATTTTGACTGTGATTTTCAAATTTTGAAACATTTCTGGGTTAGTTGAAAGGGAGTCTGCTCTATGGCATCCTATCATCAGGGCTTGACCTAAAATTCTACACTGTCAAGTTTACAACCTGGATTGAAGAAGTTTGAGAAGGAGGTGCTTCCAAGTTGCTGAGGAAGGAATTTAGCTTTTTGGCAAGAATAAATAGGGGCTCCATTGAAGAGCTAGATGTTTTGAAACTGTTATCCTTAGGGTTGGGGGCTAAGGAATATCCAACTGTATCATCAGGCTCATTAAAACCATTCAGGGATTTTTCTGCTGCAGAGTCTATTGCAGATCCCTTCCAGGCTTCCTTTGGCTAATTATATTTTCAGATATAAGGTGAATATGTACATATTTTTCTCCTCAATAGAGAGGCCACTGTCTTAGCAGTTAGTAAAAATTAGTAAAATAATAGTTTATTGAAGAAAGGTATCTGTTTCTGATATCACCAGAATCACTTGTGATCTTTTTGGAATGTTGATCAGAGCTTTTATTCTCTAAGGCTAAGGCCATGAGTATGAGTGTTGCATAGGCCTTTTCCCAAATTCAAGATCATTGTCATTACTCCATGTATATAGGTTTCATATCAAATACCAACCCTTGGTCACAGTTGCAGTAGCTGACAGCAGGTATGATGGTGTGGATCTTTTGTCTGCTCTTGGAAAAACAAAGTCTGTTCTCTCCAGGCTCACAGAATCACCTTGAAATTCCCTGCGTATTCTCCCTGCATAGTTATTTGTTGATGAGACAGTACGCAGAGCCCAGGCAAGGACAGTGGATGCAGGCCTGAGTCAAAGGATAGGTATGAGTGGGTTTTTCTTCAACAATGAAAGAACCTTGTAGAAAGAAGAATAAGGTTGTCATAACCATTTCACATAAGGAGCATAACTTCATAAAATGTTTTAAAGGGAGAGTTACACAACTTTTAAATATGTAAATATCAAATTATATCTCTCATATTAAACACAAATAGCTTATTTTTTTTCTCATTCCCCTGTTGCTGCTCTACTTTCAGATATCAATCTGTCTTCAAAAAAACTTACTTTACCAAAGCACAGGATTCTTTTTTCTTTTCTTTTTTTAAAGTTTGTAGCAGCGGATAGTTTTATTAGAGCAGAAAGTTACAGCTCTTGAAACGAGAGGGGGGTCCCAACTGTGGGATGCCCTCTTTTTTGTTTTCTTGACTAAACACTGGATGATACACCTGCTAGGACTTCATAAACGTTTGTTTAACAATGATTCATTAAATGGACTCAGTATGTTTTACATTGCTTTTCTCCCATCCCATTGTATTTCTACAAAATTGGTTTTGTGTCATAGCTTTTGCAATCAGTATTTTATCAGCTGCGCATAGTTGAGAATGCACGCAAAGAATATTGCATAACTTGTTCTGAGAAGAGTTCCTAATGTTTGCTTTTCTGTTACTCAAAAGCAAATGAATGCTTGACAAATGCCAGTTTTATCTTATTTCCTCAGGGCCACATGGAAAAACCTAGCATTAATACTTTCCAGTAGCAATCAGATCTCATCTGATTACAGCTATATCTCTCTGTAAAAACAGTTCTGCTTCCTATGTAATCTAGAGTGAATTCAATTCACTTTTATATCGAGATGATGGCCACTCTTTTATTCATTTTGGGTAACTGTTAACAATAAGAGTTTTCACTATTTTTACATTTTCAAAGGTTTGTTTATTGGTTGACTTGTTTTCCCTTTCATTTTTATGCTGGTGTGTGTGTGTGTGTGTGTGTGTGTGTGTGTGTGTGTGTGTGTGTGTGTGTGTGTGTGTGTGTGGCGGAGGGAGGGTTAAAAAGAATTTTCACAAACAACATTATGACTAAATTACCATAAAAAGATTAAATAAATAAATAAAGGCTCACCCACAATCCTTTCACGCTCCAAAATTTCTTCTTAGTTTTCCTTGCCTTATTCCAGATCCCTTCTCTTAAATGTGCAGTAGTTACAGAATTTGTGTCTTTTTTCATAAAAATGAGGTTAGTCAAGTACTTTATCAAGAGAGTGTTTTATTTAGTTAAATAAGAAACAGGTGTGCCTCATTTTGTATATCAGTTGTTTCTTATAGTTGTGTATGAAGTGTCCCATTCTCAGATGATCTTAAATCATTATGAAATTCAAAGGATCTTCATTTCTGAGCCTTTTGTCATTGGCAGTGGTCCCTAAATCTTGACCTTTGCACTTCTCTGTTTGTATAAAAACACCTAAATGTTAAGCAAGGTCAGCATTTAGTAACTACCCTCAATTCCATCCCCCGCCTACGTCAGTTGACCTCTGTATAATTTCAACTTTTCACTTATTTATTATGTTTTTAAGCAGAACACTTTCTACCTCACTTCTAGATGTGTTATATGGGAAATAACTAGTTAAGGGTTAGTTAGGGGAAGAAATTGATACCCATTTGATTTATAGAAGTATTGATAGGTTTTGACTTTTGCAGCCAGAATATCACAAAATTGGATATGTCATCTGTATTTGCAAATTTTTCAACAAGTATTTGTGAAGTATCATGCTTGGCATTCTGTCAGGTGGTTTGGAAGATACTGATGTGTCAAACTTTGTTGCTACTGTCAAGGAACTTGCCACTCATTTTCATTTTTCTTTGGGATTTTTTTTCTGTATTCTTTGAGTTGCTTTCAGTATCATGGACTTGCATTTGTATTGATCTGTGAATCATGTTCAATAATTAGCTTTATCTACTAGGTTTAGTGTGAAACTGGATTGTTCACGCCCCAGAAATATATCTCTTATGAGCAACAAGTGACTTAGATTTAGTAGAGAAAAATTATCTTATTTATTATTTTTAAATCAAATAATATTTAATAATAGGGATTTTTTTTTTGCATAGATGAAGGTTCAGAAATGTTTAAGGGTTTATATTCTAGGATATAAAACCTCTAAGTTTGTCGGAGAAGATTCAAATGTGTGATCTCATGAGTCATGCTTATTGATAATGAATATAATGAGATTGAAAAGGATAACTAACATTCAATCTCTGTAGATCATAATGCAGTAGAAGAGTCATACATGAATTTGAACTTTTAACAGTTAAATACGTTTGATTTTATTGCTGAGAACCTGCATACAAGGTCTGGCAATTAAGTTCACAAACTCATCCTAGAAAAAGTGCTACATACTTCATTGCTGAATATCACTATGGTCACCTTCGAAGTACTCCCTTTGGGAAGCTACGCACAGAAACCAGTGCCTAGTCCACCCTTCAAAGCAATTTTGGAACTCTTTTTCTGGAATGACCATCAGAGTGGTTGTCATATTACCCTTGATGTCCTGAATGTCATCAAAATGGCTTCCTTTCAATATTTCCTTTATCTTCAGGTAAAGATATAAGTCACTGGGGGCTAGATCAGGTGAGTTGGGAGGGTGTTCCAATACAGTTATTTGTTTACTGGATAAAAACTCCCTCACAGCCAGTGCCATGTGAGCTGGTGCATTGTTGTGATGCAAGAGCCATGAATTGTTGATGAAAAGTTCAGGTCATTTTTGTCTAACTTTTTCACACAGCCTTTTCAGGACTTTTAAAAATTAAACTTAATTAACTGTTCAGTTGGTACAAATTCATAGTGAATAATCCCTCTGATTATTAGCAATATCATTGCAATATCATTGCAACAAGTTCGCAAACTTAATTGTCAGGCCTCGTATACTATTATTATTACTTGTTCCATAGTTATTTCCTAATCTGCTGAGTTATATCTCTGTAAACAAGGCCATGTAGGGCTTTTTAATTTTGATACTTCTTTTATACATAAATTGCACATATTCATTGGAGATAAATTAGAAATACATATTAGCAATATATAATACACATTATATGAAATACATAGAAGTAAAAATTAGCCCTCAACCCAAAGATCAGTACTGTTAATATTTTGATATATTTTTCTTCAGACTTTTTGCTGTAATATGTGTATACATTTTCTTACTAAAATCCATACTTTGTTTTATAACCTGATAATTTTTTTCAGTGTTAGGCTGTTTGGATCTGTCTGGGGTGGTAGAGGTGGAGTGAGACTTTCTGTCTCTCTTTATTCATTCCATTTAAAAAGAACACATGATACTTGGCATGGACTTTGGGTTTATTTATTTATTTAGAGATCTCAAGTAACTATAAATAAGCATGTGTATTTTGCTACAAATTCATACTTAAATTCATGCTCCTATTCCTTTGCACCCGAATAAGCCATTGTCACAGTCTCTTATAAAAGGGCATGTATGAGCGAAATTGTAGAAATTCACAGCTGTGGCTTATTAAGCCGTCCTTCTGATGGCTCTGGGCCACACCTTTAATAAGCGAAAAAAGAAAAAAATCCAGGTGCCATAATTGTGCTGAGAACCTGGGTGGCTGATTGGAGGGCTGATCATTCTAGATCAGCTCCTAACCTCCTCCTGTCTTTCTCTCCCTCAGGTTGACCTCTTCAGAATGATTCCCTGCAGAGCAGCGTTGTCTTTTGCCCGACGTCTGGTCCGGAGAAAAATCGTCGTTCTGGACAGTTTAGAAGATTCCAAATTAAGCCGTTGCTTATCCACCGTGGACCTCATTGCTCTGGGTGTTGGAAGCACCCTTGGTGCTGGGGTTTATGTCCTTGCTGGGGAGGTCGCCAAAGCCGATTCTGGCCCCAGCATCGTCCTTTCCTTCCTCATTGCGTCCATTGCTTCCGTGATGGCAGGCCTTTGCTATGCTGAGTTTGGGGCCCGAGTTCCCAAGACTGGGTCTGCGTACTTGTACACTTACGTCACTGTTGGAGAGCTATGGGCCTTCATCACTGGCTGGAATCTCATTTTATCTTACGTAATAGGTAGGTTTCCAAAAATCAATCAGATGGTGTGGAATAGTGCCCTCCTGACAGAGTCCATAGGGTTCCATTGTGGGTCTATCTTAGTTAACCACTATGTGAGCGAGTGAATCACTTGATCCCTGGGTGTCTCCATGTTCTCATCTCTAAAATGCCTACTCCTAACTGCACAATTGGGTGATTCTGCTTCATCTGTGAATATGCGTCTTAGTGGACATGAAAACCTATTTTTTTATAAAAAACCACAGCACTGTAGTTCATTACTGCACATAAAGTTACCTGATTTCACACTTATGGACTTTAGCATTTGATTACTATTATATAATTATTAAATTATAATTTTATATGTGATTAAACTGCCCAATTCTGTCTGAACTAGCTCAAGTTCACCCTAAAATAGAGTAGCAATTGATGCTATGTTAATTTTCTCCCAGTAACCTTGCATTTTCTGAATGTTCTGTGTTTTGGGAAGGTACGTCAAGTGTTGCAAGAGCATGGAGTGGCACCTTTGATGAACTTCTTAACAAACAGATTGGTCAGTTTTTCAGGACGTACTTCAATATAAATTATACCGGCCTTGCAGAGTATCCAGACTTTTTTGCTGTGTGCCTTATATTACTTCTAGCAGGTAAGAAAAACCATTACACTTCTCCCTATGATGAGCCAGACTAATTGTCCCAGGAAAATAGGTTACCACTAAAATGGGGGCCCGAGTTCCCAAGAGTAGGCAGCATATGCATATACTCAGGTTATTATTGGAGATCTGCGGTTCTCACCACTGGGCTAGGAACACAATTTATGTGATAGGTTTATTTCAAAAATAAATCTAAATTGTGTGGAGTGGTAGAAATAACACTTCTGGGTTAATGACAACTGGAATGCACTAAATAATAGGATGAGGCACATCAATTTTATAATACTGATTGGAGATGTG